CTTTTTTTGCTTAATCAACGCTAGCTTTTGGAAAATGTGAATGATTCGGCAATTGGCTTATTCTTTGCTTTTCTAAAATTTGAAACCAAACGCTGAAATTCTCTACTTATCCAACTTCTATGGTTTGTTATGGTTTCGTTTGAGCTCAGAGCCAAGTGTATTTTTTTAAAGAATAATACTACATCAATAACCCTTTCTCATAACCTTGACGTGATAATTCGTAATTGGTCAGTTTACAATGGGTCCTATATGGGTCCTGTATAAATCTCACTAATTAATTGTGAACTGCTATATTAGGATTGTGAGAAAAAGTTTATGAGAAAAAATTGTTAGTGCAATATTGTCTACGCTTTCATGGTGCAAGCCAGATTCAGTCTACAAAGCACAAAAGTTGAAATTGCAATGAGAGAGGGATATTCTTCTTTTCAACAAGAACAAGAAATATTAGGATTATCTAATTCTTTTGATGCCTCATCATATGGAATGTTCTGATCTCATAAATTATATTAATACTTAAGATGAAAACAAAGCTAAAGCTGTGCCTTTTGGTTTTTTGTTAATCCCTCTAACAAAAAAGTCAATTTATGGTATTCTTTTGTTAAATCTTCTTTTTGAGTTATTTCTTAAAAGATAAAATTTTGATAAATAACGTTTTGATTTGGAAATGTTAAAGGAGAAATGGATGGTTAGGTTATATTCCTAGAACTTTGAATTATGAGGACGAAGAGTGGGACCAAATATCTTATCAGCTGATATTGGATGAGAGATCCCATCATTAAGAGATTTTACACAGACATCCCTGAGGTTTAGTAAAACAACAGGAAGGTCCACAAGTTTTGGAATAAAATATTCACTCCCTCATGGTTTCAGAATAGAACACTTGTTTCTTTAAAAATATTACACTTTGTTAATCCGATAAGAAATTTGAAAATAAAAAACTTTTTTGTTTAATGTTTTGTCTATTTTACTATTATGATAGTTATTTTTCATAAACATCATTCGATTACAATGGTGTAAATGTTTCATTCTTAGACGATAAAAGTGAAAGTCTGAAACATATGGGCCTCATGTTCTTTCACTAAACCTAAGGGGTGTCCATAGACCTTTACTCATAAAACAATATTGTCTACGCTTTCATGGTGCAAGCCAACTAAGGTTCCCTTTTTAGGTATTGTGTAAGTTTAGCAATTCTTATACACATTTTGGTTTGATATATAATACGTGGGGCTCCACTATATATGATCTTTTACATGATACTTTATCTAATATGTTCAATTTTTTCTTGGTTTTGGGTTAATGCATGCATCTAATTAAGTGCTTTTTTTCTGTTTACAACAAGAGCAAAATCTACAGTACTAAATTTTACTTTTCTTTGTTATAGACTAATGTCGTTTAAATGGATGAAGATGATACTTATATTACCAAGTCACTATTGTCTTAATAATTCAATGATATACTCTAACTAATCTTTAAATTTTATGTGATAGATAATAATAATTGGTACTATTCTAGACCAAATATATACATATTATTATATTGTTTTATAAATTGATTTTGATATCAAATCGATATATTGTAAACTATGTAAAGTTTAATTGGAGAAATTTGAATCAAAATCAGTCATATTATGCTTCTGTTATTTTCATAAATTTATATCAATTTTGTATAAAAATTAGTATCTAATTTGTTGAGATTGTGGAGTCAAATTCAACCTAAATTTGTATTGGATTAGGACATGAGTTTTCTTAATATGTGTTTATGTATAATTGTTTTCCTTTAAGAATATAATTGTATTAAGAATTAGAATAAAATTCTTATTATAATATGAGATTTTAGTCCTATTAAGAATAATGTCTCATAGATTATCTATAAAAAGAGATTACGTCTTAGAGTTAGAGATAAAAAATTGAATAAAAGGTAGAGTCACAATTAGAGAGTAAAAATCATCAAACTAAAGAGAGTTTAACGAGGAAGCCAATTTGTGAGACTGAAAGATTTTTATAATTTTTTTTCTTTTTCATAATGAAATTCTTCAGTGACAAAGTAAATATAGTTTTCATACGAAAAGTGAACTACTATAAAGTTTATATTAGTATTTGTGGTTATCTGTTTTTCATTTATTCACATTATTTCGGTACTACCTTTTAAAAGTTAAACGTAACTTCTTTTACAAGTGGTTTGTTTGCGTCTATCTTTACCGGACAGTCGGAAACCCCACCAATATCTCTCCATTGGATGGGCATGCAAAAAGTAAGAAAAAGGAACCAACATTCAAACGATTTCGAAGAACGAGGAGATACAGAGAATAATTAAAAAGACATGTTCCCACGGTGGAAATCATGTTACGTCAAGCTGAAATCATGAGTTTAGAGGAGTAGTATATATTTTAAAAGAATAATACTGGAGATTCCATAACATTGTTTTACCAAAATACCCTTGCCAACTTCGGATACTGCAATTGTTATATGGGAGTAGCACTTTAAATCCAATCCAAATAAACCCTCTAATTCTCATGCTGTTAGTGTCTTTAAATTATAAGTCATGATACTAAATATAAATCATAAACATTATTATTAAAAAAATATGCACATTATTATATTCAATTACGTATTATTATTATTATTATGGTTGTTACATAAGTTTATATTAGAGATCTTATTATTATTTAGAATATTAAAGTTGCACATTAATTAATGAACCATATAACATGACACTGTATGCTCTTTGCGTATAAAGTATAAACTAGTGACCTTGATATACCCTTTAGTTATCTGTTGTTGATTAATTGAGTTCAAGCTTTTAACATGGATAAATTAATTAAGAAGACCATTATTGTCAGGATTACACTTTAATAAATTCGTTATTGGTTAATTTATTTAAAGGTCTCAACATGGACAAATTAATGGTCTATATATATATATATATTCCTTGATAATAACGGATAGTGTATGATTAAATAATTGTATGGTTACATGCAAGTGATAAAACGTGAGTAAGTTTATTACAATGGTAATAAACCTCACAGATTTAGTATATAATAGTTATATTATGTAATATAAATAGCTATGAGTTTTTATGTATGTTTACAACTTTGTAATAAACAAATACAGTCAATTAACTCTCACTGGAAGTTAATTAATCAGTTGTGTTTTTATATCTTGACTTAAGGGTTTGTTTGGGAGTTTTTTTTTTTTTTTTGAGGAATTTTTAATTAGACTGATTTTGAGGTGTTTTAAAGCCATTACTTGTCAGATTTTTTATGCAGTGGTTTTAACTAGCTCAAAAACTTATCAAAACTAGTGTAGTGTATTTTTTAGGGGTTTATAAAACACCCCAAATCGAGGTGTTTTGGTTGGTTCTAAAATTTTATTTCACAAATACCCTATCCACTATAAAACTATCCCAATTATATCTAAAAAACAAAAAAATTTAACAATATTATATGCATCTCCAACCATATTAAATATAAAATAATTTTAAGCAATCATAAAAAAAAATTATTAAAATCTCATTTCTAAATGTTTTCTTGGAGAAGTGGAGTTACAATTTTTCAATCATTCTGGATGATGCAAGAATGACAAAGAAAGATAAGAAGACTTTATCACATTTGAAGTTATAAAATACTAATAAGTAGAAAACAAATAAAAAACCCTTACCTTGTAATTGAAAAAACAAAACTCTCAAGTATTCGTTAAAGTTAGGGTATTTTTATGGGCATATACATAAATTTATCATTTTAAAAAACTGTCAGAAAAATAAACTCACAAGCACAGATTGAGTGTTTTAAAAACCGCTACTAAAAACCTCTCAAAACTGTTACGATTGTTTACCCTCAAAATCGCTACAATAGTTTACTCTCATAACCGTTACTATGAAACTCTCAAGGTGAAGCTGACCCTAAGAGTTATGTTTGTTTATTACTTAATCAATATTCTTTTCTTTGGTCCACAAAAGAATGTGCATAAAGTACTATTGTTTAACCAAAAAAAAAAACTGTGCATGAAATTCTATTGTTTAACCAAAAAAAAAATGTGCATGAAGTACTGCAGTTTAACCAAATGCGCATGAAGTACTACAGTTTAACCAAAAATCTTTGCCTCAGCCATCTATATATTATACAAAGAAAGACAAGTTCACTCCTTCATCTCTCACATTCATTTTTCCACTCAACTCACAATCACTTTTCTGTTTCTTTGAGAGAAGAATAATGGCTAGATTAATTTTCGAAAAGAAACTAACGCGGACAGACATTACCAGCAAATTTTCAGTTCCAACATGGTGTCTAAATGAATTCCCACCTTTTGAACAAGGCCGGCACTTTCAACATCTGATTGTAAAGGATTTGGAGGAACCGCATATTGAGAGATACTCTTATCTCCGCTTGGCCATCCGCCGACGTGGTTATGCAAAGCCTGTTATTGCAGGTGGATGGCTTCAATATGTTAAGAGAAAAGGCCTAAAACCTGGTGATGTAGTTTTGTTCTTCAAGGAAGAAAATGAAGCTACATCAGAAGTTAACTACGGGATCAAACGCTTCCATCATTTTTTTTAAAAACTTTGTTTCCTATGTAATATTAAGGTGTGTTTCTTCCTTGATCTAATATTGTCTCTGTTGCCTTGGTGCAACTTGTTGTGTTTGAGTTTGGAAGTTTGATTTACTTTTTTGGTTTGTTTTCATATCTATATAAGCTGTCATGTACAGTGCAACTGGCACCATTTATTTTGTTTTTGTTTTTGTTTCAGAGTTTGAGGGTTTTGTATATACATTTTGGTTTGATATAATAATATGTGTGGTTTCCTTATAGTGTATGTGTGAGTCTCACCTTCAATTCAATTCAACAGAAAGCTTGACTATTTTGAGCATAATCATAATATACTCCCAGTGAGTGAGAAAAAGGGAGGTCGGTGGGTGGGGCTGGAGTGGAGTCGATACCGTCAAAGAAAATGACTATTTTTAGCATAATCATCATATATCTTTCATTATTTACTTTTTTCAGTTCAAAAAAACCTCTTCACTTTCAGGTCATTTTCTGCTCAAGCTCGTCGTCTGCTTCATCTACTTTCATCTCTCAGGTCAGCTGCCATCACTTAATTCCCTCAGCTCTCGGATTAATTTTTTTTTCTTCGTATTATGACATGAGTCAGTCAAAATTTTAGGTTTTCTGGTGCAGGAAAGTATCTTCTTTCTTTCTTTTTTCTTTTTTTAACAAAATTACAATATATTTTGGAAATTAAGTTTTAGAATTTCATTTTTGGCTTTTTATGAAATGGATCTGCTCACTTCCTCCAGACCTCAAAAGAAATTATAAGAATTATAACATGTTATTTATTTATTTTTCAACTTTACCTGACATGGATCAGTTTAAGTTTTTGGTTTTGGCATCAAAGTATCTTCTTTTCCTTTCTAAAAAAATTATGGAAATTAAAATTTATATATATTTGGCTTTTTATGAAAGGATCTATGTTAAAATTGAGTTTTTCTTGAATCTTTGATATAATTAGTTTTGTTCTTATCAAATCAGTTGAATTCCTACGGAAATCTCTTCTTTGGATTTTCCTTTTCCTTTTGTGGAATGGATCTGCTCGATGAATGTGTTTGATTCTTCTCAAATTAGTTGATTAATTAATTTCCTCCTACTATACATGGAAATCTGTTATTTTCTTATTTAACTTGGCTGGTATTATATATATCATATATCTTTCTTTTATTTATTTTTTCCCGTTCAAAAAAACCTCTTCACTTTCAGGTCATTTTCTTCTCAAGCTCTTCGTCTGCTTCATCTACTTTCATCTCTCAGGTCAGCTACCATCACTTAATTCCCTCAGATCTCGGATCAATATTTTTTTCTTCGTATTATGACATGAGTCAGTCAAAATTTTAGGTTTTTTGGTGCAGGAAAGTATCTTCTTTCTTTCTTTTTTTTTTTTTTAATAAAATTACAATATATTTTGGAAATTAAGTTTTAGAATTTCATTTTTGGCTTTTTATGAAATGGATCTGCTTACTTCCTCCAGACCTCAAAATCAAATATCATTTTTTTTTAGAAGAAATTATAAGAATTATAACATGTTACTTATTTTTCAACTTTAACTGATATGGATCAGTTTAAGTTTTTGGTTTTGGCATCAAAGTATCTTCTTTTCCTTTTTAAAAAAAAATTATGGAAATTAAAATTTATATATATTTGGCTTTTTATGAATGGATCTATGTTAAAATTGAGTTTTTCTTGAATCTTTGATATAATTAGTTTTGTTCTTAGCAAATCAGTTGAATTCCTACGGAAATCTATTCTTTGGATTTTCCTTTTCCTTTTGTGGAATGGATCTGCTGGATGTATGTGTTTGATTCTTCTCAAATTAATTGATTAATTAATTTCCTCCTACTATACATGGAAATCTATTATTTTCTTATTTAACTTGAAGGGTATTATATATATATATATTTTGACAACGTTCTGGAGAATTCTGTTTGTTTTCTTATGCTATATAATTACTAGCTAAATCTTGTCATCTGTTTGGATATATAAAACGTTTATGTATCCCTTTTGTGAAAATTTTTGTAAGGTTTTTCGCAGTATTTTGATCTTACTGGTGTGATTTCTTTCTCTAAAGAAGATTTAGGGTTTAAAAGGTAAAGTGAGTTTTAAATTACACGTTGTATCCAGTATTAATTTGTGGTGACATTAATTAGACTTGTTTTATTGTATATTTAGGAAAATGGGCAATACTTTATGAATTCCTTTGATTCCGTGATCAGTGATTGTAGCCACTATTCCAATTCTTTTCTCTTGCAAGAAATATCTGCTTCCAATCAATTGTTTAGGAGAAATAAAATATTGTGAAAGAGATTTTATAAGGCATGAGTTAGATTAGATTACAAAGCACTGTGTACTTATGGCGACATGAAATCATGAATGATATTGGTTAATCACATAAATTTGACGGTCTATTTTCATTAAGTTCATATTTGTATTATTTTGTCCATTAAATTCATTCAAACAAGATCCTGAAAGGTATCCTAGCATATGATCTTATAATCATGTGATTAAATTTTAAGATAAAAACACAGCTAGCAGTGCGCATACATGAGAAGCCCCTTAATATAACATCATTTACGTAAAGTTTATGACAATTTCCTTCAAAAATATAATAGTGTAATACCATAGACTTAAAAAGTATATAGCGTATCCAAGGGTCTTTCGAAACTTTAAACTTTCTCGTTTTCTAACTAATTCTCCTTTGTCTAAATGAGTTCTGGTATATAAGCCTCATCTACACCTAGAATAGGAGTTCTACTATTTTGTGAGCTTCATCTAATCCTGGAGTAGCATTTTGCTTCATAATATCAAATGAAGAGAGCATTAGCTAACTGTATTTATGTTTTGTGCAATGGTGTTGGCTACCGGTACTTTATTTGCTGAATCTTTGGCCTATTTAACTGCTTGTTAATCAACTTATCAGAGCCTCCTTATTGACTATGGCCAAGCCACATTGTTTGTATGTAAATTTGATCAACTTTTGAATATGCTAGCTGCTGTTCTATCTGAGATATATGGTTTAATTGTGAGCATGATATATCCATTTTTCTAGAATTGACAATTTAATTAAATTGTTCAGTACTTCTTTTTATTGAAATGGTTTGTGTGTGAAGCCTTCATGTTTAATGTTTGTTAATTACTTCAATATATACAGCATAAAATTATTTCTATCTGCTGGACTACTTCTTCCTCATGCAAGTAAAAAGATTTCAAAATATGTATACTAAATTATTTTGTTTGGATTATTCTCTTTTTATTTAACTCATGTATGTTCATTTAATTATTGTATTTGGTTTCTTTGAAGCTAAGACTCCATATATCTCCTCTTGTCTATTTTTTTTCTTGGACAATTTCTGGGTAGGAATTATCTTGATATTATTGAGTTGTTGCACACAAAAGTGGAGCCAAAGAACCATACTGTTCTCTTAAACATTAGATATTCTCAGTTCATTGCTGTTAACACTAATCTTTTAATGACCAGAAAGCTTAAATTTTGCAGGTCGTCAGCAGATCTCATAAACACGATGGCTAGTTTTTGCTACCCTTGCAACGCATAAAGAGCAGAAGCTATTCTAAACCCTAGGGCTGTGTTTGCTTCACAGTAATCAACATGGGATAAGGAATCTTCAGCACATGAATATGGCTTATCATCAATTTGCAGAATATGGAAAGCAAAATGATAAAAAAAAAAAAAAAAAAAAAAGTGGGCCCGTATCACTTTTTGTCTGGATACAATGGTGGGTAGCTTTTCATGAAACAGCTGATTGGACTGGCAGATGTGCGCACTTTCCTGCTGAAGGAACAGAATGAAATCCCACCCACCCAACAAGGTGGTCCTTTTTCTCCCTATATTCTTATATATATCTAGCGGTTGTTCCCAAAGAACATGGAATTATTTAATGGATCTTGACTTCCAACTAGAGATTAAATTAAAGAGTCGTGTTTAATACCAAAAGGAACTGGTGGGGCTGCCGTGGAGCCCATAGGTCAGTATTTCTTTTATTTTTCTTCTTTGAAGTAAAAGGACACGTACGTAATATTTTTAAACTACTTAAGGTTAGGGGTGAATGGTTCCGGGTATCCTGTATTTTTTGAGAAAATCAAAATTAGAACTGCACAGTATAGATTCCTGAAAAAAGGAACAGGAACCGAAACCGTACAATGCAGGTTCTTCAATTCAAGGAACCGGAACCTAAAATACAGGTTCCGGTTCCTTTCCAGGGTACCCTATAAAAAATTAATTACCGCCTTATTAGTTTAAAAAATGGCAAAAACACCTTATAAGTTTACAAATACACCCCTAACAAATTTTCATTATTCATTCATTTGTGTCTAATGTAACTCATAATCTGTAATCTCTAAGCAACACTTGAATTATTAATCATTTAATTAAGTATTGTAATATTGTTTATAATAGAATGTTATAATTAATTAAATAATCATACCATAAATTTATAATATAATGTTATAATAATTTGATTAAGTATTGTGTAAATTAGTAAATTACTAATGTTTATAATATAATGTCATAATCAATTAAGTAATCATTTAATTATGTAATGTTATATTAATTATATGATCATACTATAATAGTATAATGTAATGTTATAATGAATTAAGTAATCATACTATAAATCTATAATTTAATATTATAATTAATTAAATTTCAAATCATTTGATTAATATACTAATGTTTATAATGGAATGTTATAATTGATTAAGTAATCATATTATAAATATATAAGGTAATGTTATAATTAATTAAATTTTTAATCGTTTAATTAAGTAATGTAATAATATAGTAAATTAGTAAATTACTAATGTTTATAATGTAATGTTATAAATTCATAACTAATTATGTAATTATGTAATCATTTAACTATGTAATGCTATAATTAAGTAAGTGATCATAATATATAATGTAATATAATAATATTATAATTTAATTGAGTAATTATTTAACTATAATGTAATGTTTAATTAATGTTTATAATGAAATGTTTATAAGGTAATGTTATAATTAATTAAATTTCTTATCATTTAATTAAGTATTGTGCTAATGTTTATGTAGCAAATTAGTAATTACTAATGTTTAAAACATAATATCATAACTCATAATCAATTAAGTAATTATTTAATTATGTAATGTTATAATTAATTATATAATCATACTATAATGTAATGTTATAGTGAATTAACTATTAAATAATCATACTATAAATTTTTAATGTAATATTATAATTAATTAAATTTTTAATCATTTAATTAAGTTTGTACTAATGTTTATAATAAAATGTTATAATTGATTAAGTAATTATACTATAAATCTATAACGTAATGCTATAATTAATTAAATTTCTAATTATAAGTCAATTAATTAACTATTTAATTATGTTATAACTTAAAAGTCAATTAATTAAGTAGTAATCAATTAATGTAATGCTATAATTAATTATACTATAAATCAATTAAGTAATGTTATAAAATTATAATTAATTAAGTAATCATTTAACTATAATGTAATGTTATAATTGATTAAGTATGATATTTAACTAGTAATTAAATTTATTAATGTTTATCAATTTATCATATATAATTAATTAATTACTAATTTATTATAGATATACTTAGAACTTGATAATTGAAGTAAATAACTAAATATATTATTACTCAATCAAATATACTATTTTATTCAAAAATAATTCTTTTAATAACATTAAAAATGTAAAACACTTTTAATTGGATCATAATTCCAATTATTCACTTAATTGATCAAAACTTTAATATTAATGTATTATAATATATTAAAGCTTTTAATATGGTGTAATTTATATGTAATAAGTATAATTGTATTCGTATATTTATTTAATTAGGTTATTCTAAAAATTTAACTTTTTCTATTTTAATTTTTTTTTTTATATAAAATAATAGAAACTCCCCCATTATTTACATTTCACAAATATTTCATTATAGTCCAGGTTCCAAAATAGGTTCTAAACAGGTTCTAAAAATAGGTTCCAAAACATGTTCCAAAGCAGATTCTAAATAAGTTCCAAAGCAGGTTCCAAACTGGGTACCCCCTACAGGTTCCAAACAGGGTACCCTTTTTACAGGTTTCGGTTCCTTCACATGCAAGAACCGGAACCGGAACCTGAACCGCACAGTAGAGGTTCCAAAAAATTGGAACCGGAACCTACCTGCACAGTGCAGGTTCTGGGTAGGTCCCGGTTCTGGTTCCGATTCTTACTCCCGGTTCCGGTTCTACCCGCTACTCGTGCTCACCCAGTTAAGGTAGCCAACTCTCTTTTTTCTTTTTAACCATGACTTGAACTTGTCTTCTCGTCTCGTGAAGTATTGGTGTATTACCAGTAAAACGTTGACTATAATTATACACGAGCATCTGGTAATTGATTTCAAAGACGAAAGGCAAAGGCTTCCCTGTCTGAAAAACTAAGCTACTTGGGCCCTACCTCAACCTCAACCTCAAGGGCTAATGTCCCTTTCTTCAATCGTCATTGTACCAGAGCAGACAACTGCTAATCAACAAAAACAATGAACAATCACCAACTCTTGAGCCTAAAGTACACTTTACCCTTAACCAACTTAACTCCAGTAATCAAATACCTCACCACCGAGCCCTTTCTCTCTCTATCCGGAGGAACCTACTCTAAACATGAAGCTCTCCGTGTTGCATCAGAGCTACTTGAGTTGCCGGAGCAATAGCTTCAGAGGATCAACGCCCTTGGATTCCTCCTCCGACAGTGGGATCAAGTATCCGGCCGCCGTTTTCTGGCTCGTCCTTCATAGTCTCTGTTGTTTAATCAGCTTGGTTCTCGGTTAATGCTTTTCTCGCTTGGTCTTTTTCTTCATCTTCTCAACTTCCACAACTACAACCAATTTCTACACGGCGCCGTTTCGAAACGTGGCCACTGACATTGCGACGACTGTTCTGTCTTCGAATCCGATGGTTGCGAATAATGTTGAAGTTCCAGTTGCGAACAAAACGACGCCAAGTACGAACTCGAGAGTGGTGGTGGGTCAGCATGGGATCCTGATCCGGCCGTGGCCTCACCCTAATACTTTAATTTAACAAACGGGTTATGTCTAAAACATTGCTTTAAAATTGTGTTAACTGAACACATTTTAAATGGTAAATAGATTGATATTGTGTAAAATTGTGGTAACTGTTGAGAAGGAAAGGTCAATGACATTCATTGACAAATATATTATATTAATTGTATATTTATTTAATTGCCTTTCATACTTAGACTACCTAGAATAGATTAGCATGATTGTAGCACATATTTTTTTTTTTGTCTTTTATATTTAGACTACCTAGAATAGACTAGCATGATTGTAGGAAAACTTTTGTATAAAGCTACGCCTCATTGTTCAATAAAATACAATTCAAAAGGCATATATTTTTCTCATCTTTTCAGTAACTGAACACATTTTAAGAGCTATTTAAATTTTACTTTGAAAGATTTAAGCAAGATGAATTATACTATTGTGATGACCCAAAAAAGAAAAAAGAAAATAAAATTTAATATTGTGTTTCTCTTTAAAAATTAGGAAATATCAATCTCCATCAGTATATGCAAGAAATAGTACCAAAGGAGTAATATGCATTGCTCCTGTGAGAATGATATCAATGTGTGAATTAATTTCTTGGTATTGTTAAATGGGTCTCTGAAAAGTATAAGGAAATAAACAAGTATATGTTGGCAAAGGGTTTGGATGAATCATATATATAAAGTTATAAACAAGTTCAGTCTTTAAGTAATTCTCACGCAGACATTCACTCAGTTTGTGCTAGCTTCTTGGAGCTAAGATTAATGGGTGAACTACTTTTCTCAAAGACACTAACATTATTGACAGATGTTACCAGCAATTTTTCAGTTCCTATTAGCTGTCTCAAAGATTTCCCTCCTTTTGTAGAAGGCCAGCACTTTCAGTATTTCGTTGTAAATGATATGGAGGAAAGAAACATTCCATGGGCTTTTCGGTTAGCATTACGCCATAGTGGTTATGCGAAGCCTCCTATTTGTTCGGAGGAGAAAACTTCAACCTGGCGATGGCGTTCTCTTCTTCAAAAAAACAAATGAAGCTACTAGATAAACAACTACGAGATCAGACCATTCTATCGTTTTCTTTGATGTTGAGATTAGTTATATATCTTGCTTTTACTTTCCTTGGCTTAATGGAGTTTCCTAAAGTTTGTTATGCAGTACTTATGAGTTTAGTTTTGTGTACGTTTTCATTATCTTGTAACTTCTACTATCATATTTTGACCATAATATGTTCAATCTGTTTTGTTTCAATAGATATAAGCCAGTTCCATTTCTTTTTTCTGAGAGGTTTCCAGATTTGTCTTTCTTAGTTCTCATTTTTTTTCTTTTTCTTTTTTGCTTTTGTTTATGGGTTTTTTTCTATCTCTATCTAAATTTTCTTATTTTGATAATTGTAAATCCTAACCGATGTATTTTTTTATTTTTTTTTCCGTCAAAAGGACATGGTGATGGTGATGGTGATGATGAGGTGGTTAATCACAGCTAAGCCTTCAAGTAGATTGAGGTTTTTACCCCTGTAGCTCCATATATAAGACCC